ATCCCTAATCCAAAGATTATAAATAGATATAGTAGCCCTCTTCGATAATCGAGATTTTGTAGTGTTGTCTACTATTTTTAAATTATTCAAGAACGTTATCAACATTTAAATCAGTATATTTCCCCGTGTCGCCGTCCAGACGAGACTTTTTACCTGTAAGCTTTTGTTTGTAACACATTTTGTGATTAATATTCAATGACGCGGTGGTAGTTACTATTACACCGAGAGTCGTGGATTCGATCCCCACTCAGGAATGTTTGTCCTGTAGGCCAATTCTGCTAACGTTTACGTAATAATAGCGTGTCAATAGGATGTCAACTAGTCGCATTTAGCCCTTGTACTATCTACCTGAACTCCAATATTATTATATATCTGACTCAATCGATGTGTGAGGAAGACATTGAACTAATAACATTGAACTTTATTTAGATAGTACAATGGTAAAATGCAAGTCGTTGAGATTCTATCGAGATGCGATTATTACGTAAACATTAGCAGAATTGGTCTGCTGGGCTTATTAACTTATTGGCTTATTGACGGGCTCAATGGCGTGGTGGTAGCGTTCCTACTATTGCGCTGAGAGACGTGGGTTCGATCCCCACCCAGGAGAAACATTTTTGTGATTAACAATTATGTCTGTTCTGTGTCTGGGTGTTTTCTATTTATATTATGTATATATTTGTATTACCCCCGTTGTGTCTGATATCCGTAACAAAAGTTCCTAAGCTAGTTACCCGGGAACCGGATCAATGTGTGTGACGTTGTCCGATATTTATTTATTTATATACAAATTTTGTTGAGTGTGTTATGTGTGCCTACAATTAATTCTTTTTTTTTATGCCACTGCGACAGAGCATAAATACGATCTATGTAGAAATATTCTGGCATTACACGATTACACTTGCAGCAAATCAGATTATACTAATTATTTGGATTTAAACTTTAATATCTTTATAGTAAGAGTATATAATCAACTGGAGACATTTGACATACGTGCTGCCGTATGTACATTTTATTAATGTAACATTTATTAATGAAGTTTTTAAAGAAGTAGAGAGGAATCATAATCAAAGAAAATACAGCTTCATAAATGCGTTTATTCTTTAAAAAATATGATGACAAATCAGTACACAGGGAAATACATAATAGCTATGTAAACTAGTTAAACATTATTTAGATCTGAAGTTTTGGGTAGTTATAAAATTTTAAACGATTATAGTAATTAAACGAAGACTTCTCTGATATTGAACTACAAACTAATATATTTTACATAGAGAATTTTCTAGAATGAATGACTTTTCCATTCATAAACCTTTTTTTTTATATTTTACATTGCATAGACATTTTTTTCTTTGCCTATTTTAGTATATCGGTTAGACAAACAAATGTTGCAAATAAAAACGTATGGTTAGATTTGCTTCTACAGCTATCAGGTTCAAAAATACCATATCAAATTTAAACTTTAATGCACTCGAGATTAAGTTCAAAATCAATTAGTGTTATTTTACTTTTGTTTCGATTCCATCCATAAGAAAGGTGTCCTAGCAGTGGGTGCATAATAGGATGGTGATGATGATGACATTACATTATAAGATGTATACTAAAAATATAGGAAACCAGATATTTTCACACAATACATGTAAATACTAGTATACTAGCACATTTAACCTCCAACAAGTTTGCTTGAAGGTGATCTAAGCGTTTTTCTTTGTTAACAAAAAATGTTACACTTTTTAGTTGGCAAATAATCTAAACAGCTGATTTCATGAGTTCAACGAACTGCGTTTGGTAATTTTGATTGTTCAGAAAAAGTGTCAACTACCTACCGATGGTCAAACAGCGAAAGATGAGCACTAAACGAAAACGAAGACAATTAGAGATGGGCCGAATCGAGTATTCAAGTGTTATTCGATACTATTCATATTCAGTTTGTGAATAAGTTTTTATTCGAATGAATAAAACCGTTTACCCCTGTGGTATAATTCATTAGATACGAAAACACCTTATCACAAGTATTTAAAAAAGGTTTACGCTATCAAACATACTAATTCGGCCGAGTATTCGGTACATCTCTAACAGTGCTGTTAATAAACAAGGTTAGTGTTAGAGTAAATTTACGCTTAAATTGCAATTTAAGTATTACTCCAAATTCATATTATACAGAGAATAAGCAAACATACTACTTTCCAAGAGTAAAAAGTACGCACGTAGAACTTTGTACTAGGTTAACCTTTGCTAAGTCTCTGTTTAATAATATGAATTTTGACTAATACTAAGTGCAGTCTCAGCGTAAATTTACTCTAACGCTTAACCTTATTTATTAATAACACTGTAAAGGAATAAGTATGGAGGTATAAATCACATACGAACAGCAGCACATGTTCTGCAACCAGTGCCCTCCAAACATATTTTCGACTATAGGCTCCTAATTTCGGTTAATTTTAAGGCTTGTATTGACTAACAAATATTGCTTAATAAGGCTTGACGTGTGTACCAAGGTACTTTTACGTTAATCTATTAAACAACACTCAAATTTTGAAAATAATTGTACAATAAATATGCTACAATTATTCATGTTATTTGATTTATTTATAGTGAGGAAAAGAATCTTCATTAAAAGTAACAATTTATAGAAATCAATCAAGTACTGAAGATGCTTTGTCCTTTTCTATCTTAATAGAATGAGCTTCGAAAAAGCAGATACAATTAACATTATGTTACTTAAAATGGGAAGTTGCTGATTATTATTAATAAGGGGATACGCTAAACTATTTTATTTCAATAAAACTGTTAAATTAGGTTGTTCATATATTAATGAGAAAGAAATGACCTGTGCTTCTTAATTACAAGAGAAAATTTGTAAGAATAATCAGCATTTATTTATGATTAATAAAATGAATTTAGATATATTTAATTAAGTATGCCGTACTTGTAAATCATTACCAATTGATATATAAATAAATGAACACAGCAGCATATTAATAAATGTAAGATTTTTAAAATCGTTCACTAAGATTTAAAGTCAATTATACTGTAAAAAATCCAAACCCGAAGTCGGATTCAGGTGTACGAATTAACTTCAAAAAGCGGCATCGCTTAATCTTGAATTGATAATAACGGTTCGTGACATAAGTGAAGTGAATTTTCAAGTGACAAAAGAATAGAATGTCTGAGACATGTATATTCAATCAATTTTGTTTTGTATTTTTATACAAAAAAGGGAATCAATTGAATTTGTACTATACCTACTACTAATTTATGTCATTTCGAATTCTGGTTTGGATTTTCGCAGGGCTTACGTACTTTTTACGAATAAGAATTTAACACAGACAAATCGTATTTTTCTCAGGTAATTAAAAATTAAAGGTATATAATACATTATGTTATGTGTATATTAATATAAATCAAACAAAACGAAGCACAAATATGTTATATATATTTTGTATATTTTCGTTTTAAAGAAAAAGTAAATTAACATTATTGAGTTATTATAATCTATTCAAATTGCAAATATAAAATTGTGAAGAGTCCCCTTTAAATTTAACACATACAGTAGTAGAATCAACATTTATCAAATGTCGTAGTAACTAGGTACAGTAATACACAAATAATACAGTATACTGGAAGGACAAATTTCAAAATGTGACAAATATCGACCAATTAGAATGATTCGAGTAGCACGCCATAGAGTAACTAGCCGTAGATCTATTATAGATAATAAAAAGAAAGACATACGACCATCTGTGAGCAGAAAACCTCTTTCGTTAGAAATAGAGAGGAGATCGCGGTATCTCAACTATCTCTCTCTAATGGCGTATCCACATTAAGACATCTACTAACAATCCGTTGTTTTTCGTCGTTTTTCGGGCTAGGTAAGCATACGTAAATAAAAAGAGAGGGTACCATCTACTTTCTTTTTTTTAACCAAGGGATAGCTTCTAACCTTGCCGCCGAGTGTTAGTGTGGAGACCGTGAAATCTATTGTATTTTAGACGTAATAGTTATGAATATAAGACTGATTATACATTTTAATCGTACGTTCGCTGTTCATTGATAGGTCTGCTCAGTGCAAACGAAGTATAACCATACGCCATATTATTTGTATCTTACTGTTATTACTATTTTCTTACTAATATGTGAATTAAAATGTTTAATGGATTCGAAACAATTTATAAATAAGATAGTATTAGCAATGTATGAGAGAATTAAAGGAGAGATTTCCATCTCGATATCAATATACAAACTGTTTTATTGATATGGAAATTATATAATTGCTATGCAAGTTTCTCGTATTAATTAGCAAGCTTATACATTAAATTTGTTACCAGTGCACATTTTTTTTTATTCTATGGTCAATTATTATACATATCGACAAACCCATATGTTATTTATTTCATATTTAAATATTAAAAATGATGATATAATTTATATTTTGATATTTATTATCATTTTCACGATTATATACATAATTAATAGCATTGAACAAACTTTTCGTATGTTGACAATAACTGGTATAGACAGCAGGTATATAGCAGTCGAGTAGAAGTAATCATAGAACTGTCAATAGCTAATTATATCTTTAAAGAGTTTTTATTACATTCAAATTCTTGTTATTATTTTATTATCTAGTTATTACTCAACTATAGATGTATAAGTCTTTATAGATAATTATTTTTATCTCCGATGTTAACAGTGGCCTAAATGTCGGACTTCAAAATCTATCGCAACCCCCTTCAAAGACCTAGCGATTGTGATCACACATGTTAAATAGTTGTAGCGAGAAGTCCGTGAACATCATTCAAATGTCAAATCGAAAGGGATTGCGTTAGAAAAAAAACGTAACAAAGACAAGATATAAATTTTGTGCACTGGCAACTTTTTCAAGTATACAGCCGTATATATATAAGCATTTCATAATATAAATAAAATTATTGAATACCCGAAAATCTCTCCTCGTACATAATTACAAAATACACACACGCATTCTAATGATTCTCGTATCAACGTCTACCTCTATAATTGCCCCGTCCTCTTCTGTCGCGGTCGTCGTGTTCGTTTTGGTAACCGCGCTGGTAATCTTGACCCTGGGAGTAGTTCTGACCCTGATTGTAAGTTTTGTAACCGCTACCCCCGCCTGCCGATATAATTATGTTTACGTCATTATATGTCATGTCCATACTTTTCCATTATCACACTCGCACATTTTACATGACCACACGTTATGTCATTATGTATCATATCCACGATGTCATTAAAGCTGGCATTTCCCCACCAACACTGTCATATTTCCCATTTTATACTTATAATTTTAATCAGCACACGCCTCATAAAATCATTATAATAGGGTAGTTTCGGTAGTTGAAACAAGTCACGAAATTACAAAAAAACTGAAATTTACATCGTAATTAACGTATCGACGCTGGAAAACAAATACGTAGGAAAACACGTGAAAAGTTACCAGCAAAACCAAAATTGTTCTTCAGAGGAGAGAAACTTTTATTATTTTCGAGAAATAATTCCTATAAACGTCAATGGTAACAAATAAAGTGTTCCTTAGTCAATTTATACGGGAATAAGATACTTTTTGGAAAAATATAAAGATTTTTCACTTTTAATACCCTTTTTGGTTTTGCAGGTTACTACGTGTTTGCTTTCCAGCGTCGATATTCTGATTTTGAATCTTAAAATCGCAAGTATGTTATATATATCTTAATATCTTATAATTAAAATAGTTATTTTTTATATTCTTTCACATGACTTGAAACAAACACAACCTGCCAATGTGTGACGTCACTGTGGCGACAAGTGTCAGATTATATATAAAGATATGCTTAATCAAATTTCCAGATGGCGTTGTTCTTATCTTATTTGTATATTTTCGAAATCGATCGTTAGATGGTACTGTTCTTGTTTTATTGGCATCTTTTAATCTTCAACTCTATGCATCTGTATGGTGTTCATAACACAATGACGTTATGAATATGACAGACAGCGTTTTCGCGGGTATAAAAAAGTTTAAATTTTGATTTAATTTTAAGGCAAGAAAACGCGTTTATTTTTCCGGAATATTTATTTTTTTTTTTATTAAAATAAACAGTTATGAGTATCATTTCAATCAGACTATAATAACCTATTCAAAGGGACTGTTGTCGTTAGCTTTGTAAAACAAAAAAAAAAAAAAAATATAACTAAAATACCCCTTGACATTATTTCTCATTCCGTTTTATTTCTGCAATAAATACAATAAGTCAGCAGAATCGACTACAAATTTTCGGATATAAAAAATATTTTTATTATAAGTCATATTTATAAGCAGAGTACAGAACAGTTACATTACAAAAATTAACCATTAGGTAGCGCTATTAAGGTTAAAGATACGGTCATGGTGAATTCATAAGGTAACTTCTTAAGCCTTTGGAACAAATGATGCTTTGAATGATATAAATGTCATAGACAATTAATTTCGTTTGACATATCCCAATAGCTTTCAAAGATATTAAAATTAAGTACGGCGACCTTATTTTAAATTTATAATACCTGCCTAGACCAGCAGCTTTGAATTGAGACTTAAGATGCATTATTTCCCATGCGCTATCAACAAAAAAAAGGTAACCTGCCCAGGTTGTTAATAATCGTTGTTGAAAGGTCAGTTTCCAATTACGTTCCTATTATTTTACAGATCCCTATTCAGATACTCGTATCTCTAAAATATCACAGAATAAAACTAAACTAAACACAAACCATTGGTTATTATAGTTGCGATTGCGATTCGCCAACTATACATCCACGAGTCCTATGTTACTAGTCTTAAGAATGAAGGTAGAAGAACAAAATCACAATTATTCTTTCTTTACAAGAAAACTCTTCGAGTTAGAAAGTATACTTCTTAAAGTATAAATCTTATGATGGTTTTAGCGACTACGGTTTTGCTCATGCACCAGTCCCTTCGGATTTGTAAGTAGTGAGTCCCACATAACCCCAACAACCTGCGCTGGGTAAGTGGGAATGTGGAATTTCCCGTCGTTAAAAATACTAAAAGTAATAAAATACATTACTCAGTATCCAGTGCAAAGTACTACAACATACTGAAATAACAAGCTTTAGTAAGCTCTTGGACATTTTTATCACAATCTCTCTGTCTATTAGTTGAAGGTTTAGACTTAGGTGTTATACAGGGGATCTTAATATTCTAAATGCTTTAGATGTTGCAGAGAATGGTCAAAACCACCTTTACATTTAAAAGCTACACGAACAGAGCCAAGTAAATATGATAATTTTCCATCTCTAGCTGCTATTTTACCCGCATCGCCTCTAGAGATTGCAAACACCATGAATATGCTGTCGTTCACTTTCGTCATTTTGTAAATACGCCACTTTTCTACATCGAGATGGGAATTCTGGAATTTCAACAGCTTCAGTATAGTTTCTCTATCTTTATCTTGGCCGGGTATGTAAACTCCACATACTACATTCTTCGGTTTATTGATTTCTCTTCGGACTATTAGATCGTCTAAACCTGGTAATTTGAGTTTAGCTACAGTTTTGTACACCCACTTTACACTATTTAATGTTCTACACAGTATACTTAGACCACCATCGGCGAATTTCGGTTTGCCTTTCCATTCCGGACCTGAAGATGAAGTTCCAGCTGTCAGAGTCTCCTTTACTATAGCTTCCTCTAAAGCCTTTACAATCGATTTGGCTTGAGCTGCAGTGATTTCACCAGTTTTCTCACTGGTTATAAACACGACATCTACTGCGTTTGGATCAGGATTCTTCTTAGATTTCTTTGCTCCTTCTGGTTTTGGAATCGTCTGATACATCTGTTCGTTTTTATCTGTTGTAATCATCTGTTGGATACACATTGATAGGGCTGTTGAAGGATACACGCCTTTCTTTTCGAGTCTTTTAAGACGTTTTTTAGCTGATCTCGAAAGCTTAGCCTTAATTTTAGAATTATCTACCGCAGAAGAGGACGGTTCTGTGTTAATAAAGGTTGTGTCGATGTGAGAACCTTGTTCAGACATGTTCGTTATAGATTTAGAAGCTAAAACATCTACATTGGGTTTTGAAGGTAACTCTGATAAATGATTAGAGGTAACAGTATAATTTGCAGTCCCTATGACTTTATTATCATCAAGAGAACACTTCAAAGTATCACGAGTTGGACCCAAACTAGTCCCACAAATAGCAACGGATGATAATACATTATCTAAACGGCAATGCTCACCTTGATTATTATAGTTCTGGTTGTAACCACCGCTATTGTTGTCGTAGCCGCCTCTATTTTGGTCATAACCACCTTGATTTTGCCCGTAACCACTATGGTTCCGGCCGTAACCGCCTTGGTTGTAGCCGCTGTTCTGATTGAATCCGCCTTGGTTGTAGCCGCCGCGGTTGTTGCCGTTGTAACCGCCTTGGTTCTGGCTGTAACCACCCTGGTTTTGGTTATAACCGCCCGGTGGGACTTCGAAAGTTTGGTAGTTGCGTTGGTTATGATTCATCGAGGCAGGGCTCGTCTGCGGTCTGTAAGAACATTGATATCATATACTATATATCATATACTTTAGAAACGATATCATTTAGTAGAATATAAGTGTTTTTAATATCGCATATAATCCAAAGAACCATTAAAATGCGAAATACATACCGGAAGCATTTACTAGTCAACAGAATTGATTTATTATAGGTATTTGATTATTTTTGCAATCACAACGCTCTACTGAAAAATATCCTTACTGATCAATGCTTAAAATCTTTTTCAATAGTACTACTCGGACCCAGTGGTTAGAGAAGTATCCTGGATTGCGAAAGGTCTGGGGTTCGAATCACATCTCAAGGTGCCTTTTTTAAGCATTTTTCATTAAGAATATTTTTCAGTAGAGCATTGTGAATGCGAAATTCATCAAATATAATAATTAGAACAAATTTTCATCTTTATTGAAAGTTTAAAATAATTGTAAAAATATTTCTTTCGATTGTTTGGGTGGATTGCCTGAACGTTAAGGACATTACGCTCTGTAGTAGTGAAAAAGCAACAAGTGCTTGAAAGTTTCATCAGTCCTGTTAGGTCTTGGGTAGCGAGCAGTCGCCCGGATTGCGAAAAGGACAAAGTGTATTTTTAAGCATTTTAAATTAGGAATTGATTTAGAAAAATACGGTTTACAAGGTAAAACGCCCCCCTTTTACAAAAGAACTCCACTTCACTAACATAACATCTTTAATTTGTCAAATTCATTTACGTGAAGATTATAATGTACTAGAGGCAGTGTCAGCTCCTACTTCCATCGCATCATAAACTATCGAAAAATGTATTTCTTTGGAGTCGTGTTAGCGTTTCGAAAATAGACGAAATTTCGTTTTCAGTGATTTAGAATAGGCCTTTAGGTGTTATGTTAATACGTACGAGTAGTAATGTTATCATCGTACATCGCTTCATAGTATAGAATGTTTTAACTCATACCTGCCCTGATCACCAGACGCTTGACTGTATCCTCCTTGCACGCGTCCACCTCTCCCCCCACCACGACCACCCCTGTTACCCCCTCCACCTCCACTTCCGCCCCCGCGACCGCCACCCTATACAAAAAGAAACCATAAACGATCGTCTAAACGAACTTTATACAGATCTAGTCTAGTGGTTGGCAACCTTTTTGATATATTCATTTATAATATATCCTATTAATATTATAAAGGCGAAAGTTTGTAAGTATGGATGTATGGATGTTTGTTACTCTTTCACGAAAAAACTACTGGACGGATTTGGATAAAACTTTACAGCAATATAGGTTATACATCAGAATAACACATAGGGTACTTTTTACTGGGAAAACTTCTCACTCCCACGGGATACCGACTTCCACGCGGACGAAGTCGCGGGCGTCCACTAGTTTATAATATTTTAAAAGAGCCTCTTTATAATTATCGTCTAATATTTATTTTTTACTTTCACCAGCGTTTGTATAAATTATACAACATTTTCCTTACATCTAAAAAACTTAATTAAATGTAACAAACGAAATGTATTACAACTAACAATGTGTATTACATTTAATAGTATTATTAACATATCCTTTTTATGCTCTTTACCAACTTGAAGCCATGTTTGGATTACTGTTCTTTTAATTTGCAAATGAATCATTGTAGATATGAACAACCAAGTGACCAAATCATTTATCAGTCTACATAGTCTTGGTACAGGGGATTTAGCATCCGAATGTGGAGCAACTGGGGTACGAGGGTTCCATTCAGAGTTTTGGAATTTCAAATTAATGAATAGTCTTATTAACGACCTGGTCAAATCGCATTTGGATAGATATTGAACTTGTCTTTATCATCACGATTCTAGTTGTTTCAGAGTTACATGACACAAGGCTTCAAGTTACATTATTGGAGCAATATACTTAATATTTTGTTTTAAATTTTTATAGCCAATAAGATTAGAATGTTAGTTACTTTCTCGATGGTTGTCTAATATTTATAACATCTTCTTAATAAAGAAAAAAATGTTGTCAACATGTTATGATAGTGTGCTACAGTAGCTTAAAAATTGTTTTTGGTTGATTGTAGAGTCAACACCAAGTCAGGTTACATAAAACTGACAAATTTTTCCAATTAATTTTAAACCTTAAACTTTGTTGCTAGAGTTCAAAATCAATAGTGGAAATTTGACATATTGTCGTAACTTGACCTGCAAACGTGTAAAAAAAAACATATCTATGCTAAAATTATGAGGAGGAAAGGTTTGACCATTTGTTAAAAATCTTTCACCTATGTGTATATAAGGTTGACATAGGCTATAATTTATGCGAGTGAAGTCGCAGGAAAAAGCTAATTATAAAGATTACCTGTCCTCCAGGTGCTCTCTGTTGCCATGAAGGCATTTCTGGTGGAGGAGGCTGCTGCTCATTGGGTCTTCCACCACGGTCAGGTACCTGATAGAATTATTTATTTATTTAGTCAGTAAGGTCAACATTAAATGTATTACGTTTTGGGGCGTAGGACATGAAAATGGGTTATATTAATAATATAAGATGATTATTATTATTATAACCCATTATCATGTCATGGGATTATTCTTTATTTGAAATAGTACTTATAAGCATTTATTTCAATCTAAATAAGCCTAAAAATAAATATTTCGGATAAATAAACGCATTTTCTTGCCATAAAATTAAATCAAAATTTAAACTTATTTTATACCCGCGTAAACGCTGACCGACATGTTAAGGACGTCATTCGGATATGTATATTAAACAAACGCATAAAGTATTATATTATAAGATGTCAATAAAACAAGAACAGTGCCATCTAACGGTCCATTACCTAAATAAAGTTAACAACATTTAGGAATTTGATGTATTATAAATAGGCGTTTTTTACGACTAATCTGACAGCTGTCGCCAGAGTGACGTCACACAATGGCGGTTATGACTCAAAATCAAAATCTCTATGTTTATTACAATGTAAATTTTAGTTTTGTGCAATTTCGTGACTTATTTTTTATTACGGAAACTACCCTATTGTATAGCAACTGAACACAACAACGACGCTATCGCTTAAAAGGCAATTAAAATACGGAAATTATATTAAGATATATATTTAGGTAGTTTATGCTGCAATTGAGCAAAGTTACATGTTTAAAATAATGATTATTTATTACATTAATATAAGTAACTCGGTGGTGTAGAGGATAAGCGCCGCGGCCCGCGATCGTTGTTGTTAAGCAACTTTCGCAAGGGTCAGTCACGGGATGGGTGGCCAAAAAAAAATTATTTTCTCGAGCTACTTCGTGCTTCGGAAGGCACGTTAAGCCGTTGGTCCCGGCTGCATTTGCAGTCGTTAATACCCTCCAATCCGCATTGGGCCATCGTGCAGGGTCATGGCCCATCCTCCTTAACCATCCATAAGGAAGGCCTGAGCCCCTGCAGTGGGGACGTAAAAGGCCTGGTGATATTACATTAATATATTTATTAACAATGAGATGCAGTCAGGAGCAAGGGCTTATCATATCTTTAGAAGGACAGTCAAACTCGAGGTAATAATTTTTAATTAGGTCACCAATCCCTTTGCGGAAGTACGTTAACCTTCTTTTCCTGACCATTGTGCTGTAAAAATGGAAGTACTTATATCATAAATACTGACCTGCCCGATAATAACTTTGTTGATGTCAGTTTGTGTATTTTTCCTAACATTAGCATTTGACGTTTTCTCCACTAGCAGCAACGACGTCCGGGCGGCCAGGAAATCGGACAACCGGACGTCCGGTTTCACTTTAAGTTGCTCGCGTTTCGGCCGGTAGGCCGACTGGATGAGATCTTTCTTGGTCTTAAGACGGTCGGACCACTAGATACAAGAAGGTAAATCATTTTTAAAACTATTTAACAAATTTATTTGTAATATATATAATAAGAAGTTTGAATTTTCAAATTCATTTATTTATGTTACACGTTTATCAACTTTCATGTGACGGAATTGTCAACTCAATACGGGTGTAAACAGTAAACAAAAATAACTACATATTATTTCTGGTAGTGTTTAATATACTATCCACTTTTAAACTATCGCGCTGCGTTATTAAATACTTATAATATCGAGTATTAGATGCGACTGTACACCGACTGGACACACGACTACACGACGAGACTGGAGCAGCAATTCTACGCATCTGCATGAGGATGAATCTTCTTCCACCCTCAGATTTTTCATCCAATTACCATCACAAACAACGCTAACCGTGTCCCTATTCCGTACACGAGACGTATTCTGGAGATTTACCGATTGCGATTGCCAGCCGAAACGTCGGCGCAGGTCAGTGTAAAGTTGTGTCTAATACTCGGTATTATAAGTATTTAATATATTATTACCAATAATCACACTTTTATGCCTATTATATTTGTAATATTGGTTAAATTAATTATGAAATAACAAATATGTATACTCATTGTTATGTGACCGTAAAGAGCTTGTGACATCACAACCCTCTACTCATATCATACCTTAAGAGAATTAAACCTTATGTATACATAGAATGATCTTCAAAACGCTGACAGAAGCTGACCTATTCGTAGGAAATAAAAAAAAAGACGTCTACGTCCCTATTTAAGATTTAAAACCCTAAGTTTATTTTTTACGATCATACCTCAAAACTCTGGATTGTGCATTCAAGTCTAGTAATGAGCGTCTCTCTTCTGAGACGATACTCTTCGAACATTTCAGTATAGGTAGTTTCCAGCTGTTTCCAATCTTTCTCCGTTAAAGCCTTGTTGTATAGAGGTTTACCAACTAGCTGGTCACCTGATAGAACCAATATTATAATCAATTACACATTATGTTTGAATTCAGTGAACATATTGTAAATGTACGATATAATTAGTTTTCCAGAGATTTATTTAGCCTTTTTAGATTGTGTCAGCTCTATATTTATACACCAAGCATATACGGTTTTTGCTTATATGCCAAATGATGACAAAAGACTGATTAATTATTGTTAATATTAAACTGTATAATGTGAGATTTATAAAAAATCTATAACTTGAACATGTTTATACACATAGCTGTATAAAAGTGATTTTTGGCTACCGAAGAAGTCCATCTTTGAAATATCCGACTTTTAGGGCAATATGTTCGGCACAATACAGCACGATCAGGTTTTGTATTTCAGAAGATGGCAACCCTGGTCATTGTTGCAACAATATTAATAAGTTTAGGAACCACTGATCTGACAGATAAATTTTCTGGAGAAACTTCAAGACTCATTTGTATATTAGTCACGATAGGGTGAATAGTTAAAAATATAACCTCATTTAGTTTTGCAATAAAACAATGTTTACTGTTTAACATATATAAAAAAATATATATACAGACAAGTCAAATCAAAGGCCGAACTTGAATTTTAATTTAAGTGTTTATTTTATTTACCTAAAAGAATACAGACCTTCTTTTTGAATGGTGTCTTTCAACTTTGCCTCTAACTTTGAGAAGAGCATTTCTGCTGTGATATTTGGTGGTGGCTTATTAAATTTTAAACTAATTAATATATCTTTCAGATCCTTTGCAGTTGGTGATTCTTGCTGAAAAAAAAAAAATCTATGTTTATTGTATTCCAAAACGAGCAGGTTCTTCTGATGTACTAACTTGTGATGTACTCTGTACTAAACCAGAGGTTGGCAACCTTATGAGATAGGAGCCAAATGTAGAATATTTCTCATTTTTTTAGTCACCAAAAGATTTGTATTAATTTAATTTTGTTGTTTGAAATTAAATAATGAAAATCCATAATTGTCAATGATGATATGTTAAAATTATTAAAATAACAAATTGCTATGTATTTTGATTTGAAATAAATAAATAAAAATGTTATTCATATTATATTTGAGATTTTATTTAAAATAAACAATGGTAAAATGTCAAACTCAACCCTATGTAAGAATATAGATATATTGGCATGAAGGAAGAAGCATATTTTTGAGTTATGTTGTAATATGTTGAGACCGAAACAAATTGTTGTCATACATTTGTGTGTTGTGTTGTGATAGAAATACAAAATAATTATTTCATAATCTAAGGGTTACTTTACTTAAATAAAACACATACCATTATAATATTCATAGTAGATCCAATCTTTTCCTTTGGACGGTCCACCTGTACCATCCTAGCTGCCATTAACTCCGATATTAAGTAATCCAATAGCAGAACCCTATCCTCCTTGGTTTGCAATCGCGAGGACATGTGACCTGTAATAGTCAATCATTTGTAAGTTACCACCAGTTACTTACCAGATAATTCAACATAATTCAGACTAGACTCCTCAAATTTACCCATATTGTTTTCTACATTAATTGATTCACAAAGAGTCATCTCTTGTTGTTATTTTCAATAATCTAATGGAAAGTATTTTATATAGTCTAATGAAATCATTTTTCTATAGGGAATATTACACAACGCATGGTGTAGATGACAATAGTAGTAGCACATTTACATGTAGTAAACAAACTTTGGACATTTAGTCTTGGAAATAAATTCTTCATTAACTTCTTAATATGCAGCAATGATGTATTATTGGATAAGATTATACTATTTTTAGATTCAAGTATTTGTGATCTTATCAATAGGTTAGGACCAGGAATTCACAGTTGCGAATCCCCAATCTTAGGTGGGGGCAGTTCGGCCAGTTTGCGCACTGGTCAGGTATTGTACGCCCCTGCCCTATCGGGGGAGTGGGTCTCGAATGTCCCTGAGACGTACTTCCAACCTGCAGGGACTTGCCCTTTTCAGGGCGGGTCGAAATGGGGGCAAACCATGCAGCGTATGGTCCCATGCATTGCCTTGCATGTGAGGGATATCACTGGGTTTTAGTGGGTATAGCCCTGGGTTTGAGTGGGTATACTCCAGTTAGCTGCACTGGCAACCTGGGGTATGCAGTAATTCATTTCCCAGCGTAATGCAAAAAGGTATTTGTGACCTTTATGTTGTTTATAACATATCTATGAATTATCTTAAAGCATATAAAAAGATTACTTGTTATTATTAACTTTGGTTACCAAATATCTTTTATTGGAATTTACACAATAAGTAATCAATAATTATACATACCTGTAACTAAGTTCTTATAAGGGCATCCTAACTCCTTCAAGAACGAGCTCAATTCCAACAGAAAAGAGCTAGATTCATCTGGATCATTCATCATGTTCACAGTCTCTTCAAGTTGGCATAGCTTCTTCAGTTCTTCAGCCAATATGTGGATGAGCTTTGTGTACTCAAGAGACTTTGGGCCAGCATCAAGAGCTTTTGCCAATGCAACCTCATCTGTTAATGGTCCTTCATAGCTGGACACAAACAACAATATCATTTAATTACATAAAATATGAGCTTTCAGGTTTTTATGAGTTGATGTACCTAACCAAAATTTGAACAGTCATTATATAAAATTATTGTTCTATTTTCATCTATAACATAAATTTTCCAATGGAACATAATTATCAGACAAAATTTTTATGAATATGGCCCTATAGTATACCAATTATGAATAATATACACGTAAATATTTTACGTTTCGCTGGCATTTAATTTAATTCGTAGGAAATTTAACGTTGATCATAAATTAAAGGGACTATGTGTTATTAATTATGAGAAAAGGCGATAAATTATTTTTTTAGCCGAATATAACCTCAAAGTTCTGTGATGTCATCACGCACAGCAGTTCGCTTTATTAGAATAAAATTATGATGAAAATCATATTGATTATACTGGTTTTTATACCAAATAAGAGTAAAGATCACGAAAAAATTGCTAGCGGTTAATACTTACCCCAAATCATTGAGGGAATCCAATATATCGTTCTCCATGTTTACAGCAGTTTGATCGAGATTTTTATTCAGTAAGATTTGTAAATACCTACTGGAATAATCTACAAATTAGTAGATTCGTTCATTATCGATACGACTAACGAATAGGTAAAAAATACGTAAAGAAAATCACAAGAAAATTGTCGAAAGAGAGAGCGATTCGATCGAACACTTTTATTATTTCTTTTTTGTTCATTTGTCCCATTTGTTTGGGATCGGCAAAGCATGTTAGGTCCATACAGCCCTAACTTTTATTTTTTTAATGTTTAACGGCCTCGACCATAGGTAATACATAAATAATGGTTTGGCTTTACCATCTCGCTATAAGCACATTAGTTAGTTGAATGTATTTGTCGCACGCAGCTAAGTGGTTTGTTAATTGAATAGCGCCATTCTATTAACTAACTTTCGATCAACCGAGTAGCTGCACGCAACATTCTACAATACGGCTGAACAAAGGTCAGTCAATTGTCGAAAGAGGGAGCGATTCGATCGAACACTTTTATTATTTCTTTTTTGTTCATTTGTCCCACTTGTTTGGGACCGGCAAAGGATGTTAGGTCCATACAGCCCTAACTTTTATTTTTTTAATGTTTAAGGGCCTCGACCATAGGTAATACATAAATAATGGTTTGGCTTTACCATTTGGCTATAAGCACATAAGTCAGTTGAATGTATCTGTCGCACGCAGCTAAGTGGTTTGTTTAATTGAATAACGCCATTCAATTAACTAACTTTCGATCAACCGAGTAGCTGCACGCAACATTCTACAATACGGCTGAACAAAAGTCAGTCAATTTATTAAATGTCAAACAAAAACATACTGTAGTGGATGATTTTATTTAAAACTCAAAAACATGTTACGAATGTACGATCTATAATAGATACTGATACAGAAATCAAAAAGACAATATCAAACAAACTGCTCTTTCGCGACTACGTGTTAATAGTCTGTATGATTTTATTAGACCTGTGTTGATCGCGATTGATCGAATCAAGCAGCAAAACCGCGCTCATACATGACCAGGGAAAGAATAAGACCACGGCACCCCCCTCCACACTATCAGGGGGCTTCATACCAACCTGAATGCTGTCCATCAGCACCTGGAAACAGCAAAGCCGGCCTTACTCTTTTTGACCGAGACGCAGATATCGTCTCCGGCGGACACCTCTTACCTGTCCTACCCTGGGTACGGACTAGAGCACACTTTCACACCAAAGGCCGGTGTATGTGTGTACGTCAGAGACGATATTTGTTCTCGGCGCCTTGGTCACCTTGAAAGCGGTGCAATAGCTCTATGCCAGATATCCGGTTTCACCAGAGCTCAGTGCGTCTAGCACTACTCTCCCTCGATATCCACAAGTCGAGTGGGCCCGATGGTATCCTCTCTATTGTGCTAAGGACGTGCGCTCCAGAGTTGGCACCGGTCTTAACGCGCCTATTCCGGCTCTCTTAGTCATCTGGCGTCGTCCCAACCTCATGGAAAACTGCTTTGGTGCATGCGATCCCAAAAAAAGGTGACCGTTCGAACCCGTCCAACTACAGGCCGATCGCTATAACCCCTTTGCTTTCAAAGATAATGGAGTCCATTATCAACCGCCAGCTCCTTCGGTACCTAGAGAATCGCCAGTTGCTCAGTGATCAACAATGCGGATTTCGTAGTGGTCGCTCTGCTGGCGATCTTCTAGTTAACTTGACACATAACTGGGCTAAGGCAATTGAAACAAAGGGCGAGGCCCTGGCAGTAAGTTTGGACATAGCGAAAGCCTTCGATCGCGTGTAGCATAAAGCTCTTCTATCAAAACTTCCCTCGTATGGGCTTCCCGAGAAATTATGTGCATGGGTCACTAGTTTTTTGACAGAGAGAAGCATTAAGGTTATAGTCGACAGTGAATGCTCCAACCTACTGTCTATAAATGCTGGTGTTCCCCAAGGATGTGTGCTATCACCTACACTTTTTCTTCTGCATATTAATGACATGCTGCAAATTAGCGGTATTCATTGTTATGCGGATGACAGCACGAAGGACTCCACCTATAACGGTCGTGCTAATATTTCTCGGGAAAGCGTCGTTGAGAGCCGGAATCAACTTGTGTTTGATATTGAATCTTCGTTAGAGGAAGTCTCTAACTGGGGTCGACTTAATTTGGTCCACTTCAACCCTACTAAGACACAGGTTTGCGCGTTCACCGCCAAAAAAGCCCCTTTTGTATCAACTTGCTTTCAAAACATTCCCCTAACTGCCTCAGCCAATATTGAGATTCTCGGTGTCGACATATCGAGCGAGGTCCAGTTCCGTGGTCACTTAGAAGATTAAGCTAAATTAGCATCTAAGAAGCTTGGTGTGCTTAATAGATCGAGGCAATATTTCACTCCGGCGCATCGCCTGCAGCTTTATAAGGCGCAGGTTCGGCCCCATATGGAATACTGTTCTCATCTTTGAGCAGATGCACCCCAATACCAGCATCTCCCTCTAGACCGCATTCAGCGGAGAACGACTCGAATCGTTTGATACGACCTTCAAACTTTCAAGCGTAGAGCTTATTCGTCCCTCAAAGCGCAGCGCACTTGTAGCTCCTCTGGTGTTGCAGGTGTCCATGGGCGGCGGTAATCTCTCACCATCAGGTGATCCGCCTGCTCGACTGCCCCCTATTACATAAAAAAAAAATCTGAGCAAAACACTGGATTCTGGCAAAATCAAAAAGGGAAACGCCAATAATTAAAAAGAAGAAGAAGAAGTTTAATTTTTTATTTATTTCTATTTTATAGACAGATTGATGTTTATTGAAATTTTAATAGTACTTTCTGTCACGGTTAGATTCGGCAAGATTCAAGTTGAAACCAAGGAATATTATACATACTTGTTGAAACTTACTGTATCACTACGTCATCGATCCTCAATATCATTCAGACGCCGTATTTTATAAATTTTAATGCTTTGAAACTAAGTCCTCGTGACATGGAATGTTAATTTTGAGTATAATGTTATCCTCAAAACTATATCTATTTTCTATCATATATATTATCATAACACATAAAATCACGTTAGTGAAAATTTAATACATTTAGTTATATGAGATACTGTTTTCCCGCGACTTTGCTCGCTTAAAGTATAGTCTATGTTTTCCGTCTATGATGTAGATATAGGTAAAGTTTTGGAGCCTATTCGATGTAAATAAACAATCATAAAGTATATTATTTATTATTTTATTTAGAATAATTTAAATACTAATGAGGAAGTATTAAAAAAGAAATCACTAAAAAGCACCTCCACTAGATGACGACTCTAACAAAAGTTGATTTTTGCAGGAAACGAATGGACCAACGATAGCATTTCCTTTCCTTTTAACTATCATATTATCAAAAAACGGATATTTGCAAAGTTCAAAAAGTACAAATAAGAGTTGTTTATTGAGTTTTGAAAATTAATTTACTTTTATACATGAAAGAAAATCAAAAGGGTTGTCATGGAGAAATTAAGAAAGTACCGTAGCGACATCTTGTTTGATTTCGGTAACTGTTTTTTTTAAATACTTCCTCATTAGAATACTCTAATCACATTGTTAGGGTAATTTTACCGGATCATCATCAGCAAATAGCACTGTGTGTGTCACATAAATTATAATTACAAGGAAGTTCATTGAACGAATCAAAAAGAGTTAGGGACCTATGAATGTTCCTTGGGGTACACACACTCTTCCATAAGTATGAGAATTGGATAGATTTATATTGATTAATAGAGAAGTTGAAAGGAAAAATGTATAAACCCGTGTAAACATGTCGTAATGTATGGATCAAAATATTGGACCGTGAAGAATATTAATAAAGGAAATTAAATGCAGCGGAGATGAGAATGTTGAAATGGGTGAGTGGAGTAAAAATAATGGGTAGAGCGAGAAATCAATATGTTAGTGGGAGTTTGAAAGTAGCACTAGCAAACGAAAAACTGAAAAATCAGACTTCCTGTTTGCTATGAACTTTAAACAAATATGTATGTGGATGTGATGATGGATCTGTAAGTTAATAGATGGAGAGCTAATATAAGTTCACAGAAAATACGAATTCCGCAGAAGAACGCAATAAGAAGACAAATTACGCCGATCACACATACAATGGGACTGTGATAATATTGGCTATTAGCTATTTTTGGAATGACTATAGTTTTGATCTTTAAAATTGAATACTATCTTAATGCTAAATGTGTTAACAAAGTTAAATGACGAACACTATGAAACGCTTTAAAAAGGTCACAATACTACTCAAATTTTAATCACCTTCCGAAGTTCCTAAAATAGGGATGATGACTAATTTTTGTTTGTTTGTCGGTCAGGTAGAGTGTTAAAAAATATTAAACACGTATTTTTTTATTTTTTTCGTAATCATAAAATTACGGCGTTATATGGAGTTGAAATTTCGCATGACGTCACGTTAGGGCACGTTTTCTACTCAACTGTGACGTAGCGAGCCCCCACTCCTCAACTTTAATGTCCGTTATCTAAGCTATTTCTTGTTAAATTGAAGTAAAAAAAAAATACGTATCTAATATTTTTCTATTATCTGACTGATGGACTAAATAGAATTGCTTTTTTTTTACCCAGTCATCATCCCTATTTGTGGGACATTTGTTAAATGAAACACCATACAATGCTGCAGCTGTAACGTTTATTTGCCAGTTTGTTTATAAATTAGGTTATAATTTTATTTAATACAACTACATCCATCATCCATTTTGAGAAGCCAGTCGGTAGTTTCCATTATAATTAGAAATTTAAAATATAGTTTGAGTTATTTGTCATCTTGATCGTCATCATCGTCGTCGTCGTCATCGTCACGGTCACTTTCTTGATCTTGTCTCTAGATGAAATGAAACAAAAGTTTATTAGTTGATTATCCGTTTATTTTAGTGGATTTAAAATATTTATAGTTATTTCAATATTTATGTTGGAAATATGTTTGAATTAACTTTTCGGTTTGTAATGTGTTTGCTACATTCGTTGTT